CTCTTTCTGCTTGGCTAGATGGATTAGTTCTAGCTTTAGCCATTCTATTGTCGGTTACTCGCTAATACATTACAGACAACAGGAGCTAACAAGCAAAAAAAAAAACGTGCATCGATGGCTTAGCGAGTTTGGACCTATCGCGAGTCACCTCAAGCCAACCGCTGTTGTCGCTTTCAATTTGCTACCTTCAACTTTTCCCGTTCACCACCCAATTTATGGAGCTCCGATGAGTCTTAATGCCAGTCTCTAACGTAAGAACACAAGCCAGCAGCACTAGTCAACAAGCGATTCAGTCATAACTACTATTAGTTGGGAAATCTACAAGTAGAAGTTGTCGCAAGTTATTGTTGATGATCCTGGTTCGGTGAAGTAGAAGGTACCGACTCGCTTACTGCCGACACTTCATTTCGTGGCAGCAGCGATGTGTCGCACATTACTCTTTTCCTCTCTTGCTTCCGGAAGAGAAGCAGCGACGTCAACATTGGAGACCGTTGTTACTCTTTATCGAACTTGTGAGGTGCAGAAATAGAGGATGGGGCGGGGCGAAATCGTAGAGGCCCCGTTCCAGTGGTCCAGAAAAATATACGGCCTTAGTAAACGTGCACACGGTAATGAGGGGAAGAGAGAAAATGAAAGAGGGACAAGAGAACGGCATGGGGAAAAAGGACGAATGCTGCTGGCACTGAAGGCGTCACTGCGACTGACCGACCGACCTGGCCGAGAAAAATAGACAAAGAACGTAAAGACTACTGTTGATAGAAAACAAGCGGAAAGGGGAGACCAATATGCTGCTTTTGCTTTCACCGACCTGCTTGTCAGTTATTTTGGACAGAGGAAAGGTTGTTGCATCCAAGCGGTCAACAGTGCGCGCATGGTCATCAGTTCGTATCGGGATAACAACAACAAGCTTCCGTTAACCACTGTCCTTTGGTCGGTCCGCCCATCCACCCCCGTCTTCGCTTCTAGTACCTTATAGCGTCAAGCACCATTGCAATACATGACGGCAAAGCACTGGTCTGGTATGGTTTCGGTATGGCATGGCCGAATTCGCCTGTGGTCGTTCGGTAGCTTGGGCATAGCCAAACAACGCATACAAAGAAAAACTACGGCACCAAAAGCCGCCAAACTGGCCATTGATGTCACTGCTGCTCTCTCACATGTTATTGCACTTCCTACTGCACGATGGATCGTACGTTGGTCGTTCCCTGTTAGACAGATGAAGTCGACAAGGGGGTATCGATAATTTGCTAGGCACACCAGGCGGGAAAATTGAATACTAGAAGGCACTTTATAACAGCTATGGCTGTCATTACACGCAGTCATAAACACAGTTACCAAAAAACTTGTACAACTCACACACACTAAAAACTGTATTCAATAGCTTTGTAGCCTCTAATCGAATAAGCCGGCGACGATGACGATATCTGACGATCTTTTTGCTATCGGCTTCTGCAGGGTATCGACAAAATGCAAACACGAATCTGATTGATACGCTAAGATAGGGCTATATGAGCCAGTAGATGTACGTCACCCTTCAGTATAGCCTATTGGCAAGTTCAGTTAAGAACATGTTCTTTTACAAATGTCCCTATATATACGCATATAGTGCATGTTGATATATGGAATACAAATATTTTATCAATTGACAACTAGGTGTAGCCGTCGTTATGCGTTCTCATATACAGCAGTGCAAGTACTAATGAGTCCGTAAAATGAGCCTTTCTGGAAAGGACGTCTGTTGTCTCCGATTTAAGAGCCATGTGTAGTTAACGTTTCGTTTACAACTGATAGCTCTTTGCGAATCTGGAGGTTGTTCTCATTTATTTAGGAAAAATAAACAGGAGCGAAAAATCCGCAGGGATAGAGGCACGTTACAAGAACTGTCGTCGCCCAACCCTCCGTCACCCCACACCGATGATGACAGACAAACAAGGCCTTTTTTCCTATTAGAAGCCAACCTATTGGATAGACATTAAAACGCGTCGTGTTAGCACAGTCTTTCACGCTACAAGTGGCATAATGCAGGCATATATACGGCGTAAACGAGAGTTTCTTTCGGCAATCTTTTACTTAGCTCTGCGGGAACAATGCGGCGGTCAGCATGGCTCTTCGGTTTCCCTATCTCTGAAATCCCGAAAAGCTGAGAAATCAGCATAATCTCGAAGGGTCGTAGCTGTAAGGCGACGCTGTCGATGAACTTTATACAGACAATACAGCCTGTGGAAGATCCCTACCACAACCTGAGCTCAAAATCAAATCGCAACAGCTTGTTTGGGCCTACAGGCCTGGCTATTACAAGTAAACTTTTTAGACTGGTGTTATTTAACTTGAAAGAAAACTTTCCAAACGTTTATCACCCTCAAAGCGTCTATTTACCTAGTCCGTGATGGAAAAACACAGCTAGATGCATACTCTGAAAACCTTGAAGGTTTCAGATCATCAAGATCACAGAATCATAAGATAAAGAAAAAAAAAGATTCAGTTATCTTAATGATCTGAAAAGACACAGGCCTGCGGTTTTTAACAGGTGCGAGGAATTGCTTTGATTGCTTATTATCTGCTATGTATATCTGTGATCTGCTACATTTATCTTTTATTTAAGCAAAAAAAAATTGATTTCTAAAAAATCTGCGCGTCTATTGAAAGAGAGCACGCATAGTCCGTCCGACTGACAACTAAACCAGAAGTCGCCAATTAAAATATGCGTACACCACTGTAAATCGTTCGGAAAGGCGTTTTTTATTTGTATTATTGAAATTCTGAATAATGCTCGAAATAGTACTGAAAATTAAGTTTTTTCTTGTTTTTCGCAATCGAATAATTTAGACCTAAAAAATTCGTGTTAACTTCGAACAAATTCGCTACTTAACCTGAACTCCAGTTGAACGGCGCTGGCAATTCTAGCAAAGTAAACCTCACAGAAGTTATGTCTAGGAGTTTGGATGAGTCAGAGGTATTTCTAATGCGTAATACCTAAAAATTGCGATTACTCCAGTAGTTACCAGTCGCACGATTTGGAAAAAGTATTCCAAGTAATGAAAGTTACTGACTAGATTTTCCTCTAAGAGTGCTATGTATAACATACAGCTTGTTATGAACTTCTTGGATACATCGCAGTACCTAGTGACCTTTCCAAATACATTCAGGTGAACTAGGACTCAGCCCTGTAAGAGTGATAACACATCGATTTTTATATACTTACTGGATAAAGTATATAAAAAAAAAACAAGGTGAACTAAAAACATATATACAGTTTAAATTACCCTACGATCAGTCTTTGTTTATGTATAATTAAGATTTAACTTGAAGTCCCAAAGTTATTACCGTTCTGACCTATATACTGCTAATAGGGATGAACTACTGATTCAAACATTTTACTGTTAGTATTTGATTGTGACTTTTAGGATTTCCTGTGCTATCGATTTTCTAACGTTGACCTAGCAAATAGGAACGATAGATCTCTTTCCATCAGATGCAGATGGTGCGTTATGTTGAAAATTAAATAGTGGTTAAACAGATATTTGTAGTGAATTGAAATAAATAGCAGCAGTAACTATACCGTCAGAAAACAATGTAAAGACTTTTTAGACACCCTACGTTAAAGATAAACCGCTACGAACGTTAGATTCAAGTTATGTACACTTAGATATTGCACTACTAGCTATTTTTCGTTATCTTCTTACAACCCAACAGTACACTGGGAACGAACCCCTAATGCGTGTTGGGTAATAACACTGCCTTAAATAGGCCAAAACCTTGAAAGCAAGATAAATTTATGTATGAATGTCTAAGAAATGGCTGTTGACAGCCGGCAAACGATAAAGCGCTACATCCAAAAACCGCTTCATCGGTAATATGGATTTACATATTCAAATCAGTAATTAACTGTCCAGATACGGTAATACGAGTTTACCTGTAATGGCGCTAATAATGCTAGTTAAGATATATTATTTTCAGTTTTTCTAAATAGAGTTTTTACTTATGGGCACCACCAGGGCAAACCCTATTTTGTATGGGCCGAGTGTGGAGCTCAACCGCAACGACCGGACACATTTTTGCTAAATTCAATACCTATTAATTCGTGATTCACACTCCGAATTAATCCAAATCATCGTTTAATAGTACTGCAGTATTGAGTGTGCCACCAAATTCTATTCTTTGAGTTTTGGGGAACTGTTCTATCCGAAAATAAATTCTATCAACAAGCACATTACGCAGACTAACTTAATAATTTCGAAGGAATATCAAACATATACCGAACCATGGCCCGAGCTGATAAAGGGGTCCAGGGTTTAGTGGATGAGAGTCCCACAGTACCGGACAAAGAGCAGTCATGTCCTGCCTACGTCCGGTCTGCATAATGCATTTGCCCTTAACCTCCAAAAAAGAAGACCAACTTATTAAACCCCAATTAATTATTTTTTTTTTAACAATCAACGACCGATAGTCTAGAAAAAGCCAGTTTATTGCTGTGAATTAGATCGAGTCGATATGATATGATATGGCACAGTTTCCTGATATTGTATTGATAATGACAATTTACGCCGTACGTGTACGTATTGATGTTGACGCCTAAAGCCTCGACACTCTGACGCAAGTCTATTGATACTGCTATATCGTAGTTACTGCTGCGGGCCACTATTAGTTATTGTCTGATATTTGGCCGAAAGTTATTAACTTGAAATTCTTCTGCCAAAGCTAGCCTAGCAGCCTTTAATGAAACGCATCAGCTTTAGCCAAGTTCCTATGTTAAGTTAGATGATGCTAAATTTTCTGACTTAATCCGATCGGACTTGTAACCGAATCAAAATCGAGACTTCTAAGTAAAAAAAATGAAAATGGACACGGCCTTCATGCAACAGCGACCTGACGTTGTTAGTTTATCGAAAATATTAGGAAAAAATATTAGGCGGTATTAAAAGCGCTTTGATTTGGCTTCTCTATAATGGAAGCTATTTCCTGTCTAGCAATCACTAAAACATATTTCCAGCTTTACTCACTCATCTGCCCTACGGCAAGCGTGGGAAGCAACAGCACGGCAATGACGTAAATTTTCTCCAAAAACATGGTGAATATTGTCGCTTGCTATTACAGATCCGGTGGTCACCCCTGACCTGATCGTTACTAATCCCGAGTTTCACTCATGAAAACTTTCCCTACTCACGTTTACCACCTCTCGACAAGTTAAGAAGTTAACACTTTTTGTTTGGAAAGAATGTTTTGAGGATGCTTCTTTCGGCTTGCACTGCTTAAAACCTGCACATGCACACGCCTGGTGTACAAACCGTATCCAATTGGGTGTCACTCTACATGCCAGTTTCAATTTCCTGATAGCTGATGCCCTAGTTGTGAGCCGTTTCGAGCTCTCGACGAAAATAGAAGTAAACGCTGGATCCACCAGGGACCCGTACTGGGTATCACACTGTGCGTTGGGTGGGGGTCACTCTCGCCTACGCTATCCTACTTCACTCGCACTGAATTTTAAACACGCTCTATCCTAAGCAAAGCACGTTATCCCGGCCGGGCGGCAGTAATTTATCGCTGCAGTGGGAGCTTCACATTTTGTAATGAATTCGGGTCGAGTAATCGTATCTGAGACACCACAACATCAGTGTTACAAATTGACGACGATCTTATTATAGCCTAATAACCATTTTATTACGCGTTGCCAAAGTGTTCGCTCGTGGCTGTTCTGTAATGCTATCGATAGCAGTAATAACGTAGCTGAGCCGAATAAATAACGAAACACACAGGTTTACTTACGAGCCCACTAATCGCTCTATTAATGATCGCAGTGTCCCGGAAAAGAGCGTAAATGGCCAATCCAGATTTCCTGCGCTTTAATCGATTACTCAGTCCTCTTTTGTATGTCGACAAACTTCCTTTCCTGCTCCTTGAGTCGCTGATAGCTAACCATCGACTGAGCTGTGGCTTTAGCTTGCAACGAGACAACTTATGCGAGTACATCAACTTTTCGACACCAAAGAAAGTGGATCATTTCAGCTAGGGCAGCGTGTATACCGCCAGTTGCGTTTGGCAGTATCATTGCGGTGTTTCTGTTAAAACATAAACACAAATACTCGATACAATTTACACTGTCCGCACGAACTTACGCAAATTCAAATATGTTACGTGTCACTTGGCTTCTATGAGTCACTGTTTCCGGTTCCGTCGTTTCGCAGGTCCGGGAGACGTTTGCAGGACAGGAATTGACTGCACACTAAACCCGACTAAACAGACTGTAAAGGAAAAACCCCGTATGGTTACTTTTTACTACCCTCCTCCTTAAAAGGAAAGGGCCGCCGACGAGACGTTGTCATCTCGAACAGAGAGTTGTCTTCCATTCTGCCAGGGAGTTCTCTGAGTCCCTGGCTGGCGTTTTGCCTCCGGCAGCAGCGGAGGACGGTGGCATCATCGTTCCTCGAAGTCGCGTTAATACAGTTTGCGGTATCCTCTATTGCCTGCGTTAATCCAGCCTTCGAACAGAGACGCGTTTCAGAATAGTAAGGCCATTCCTGCCACAGAGGCTAATTTTTGCCTTAGGAGTGGCTTGTACTAACATTCACTAGTTTGAAATTATCCCATCGTAAAGTGTGAAACAATGAAGCTATCCTACTTGTAAATCAGCTGCACGTCTCCAATTTTCATCAGAGTTTTACGGGCGACTGTTAAATAAACAAACGCTTACCCTGTTTATTTTTGTCAAAAATTTTTTGTGAATAATTAATTTAAGAGTGCAACTGGAAGCATTATGTTCGACTCAAAATAAAATTATAATCTGCGACGCTGGGGTAACAGGCGGGCTTCTAACTCAAAAGAATTTCGGTGCACAGAACGAAAAAGATAGGCTTTTCCTCAACAAACCGGCAGTGCGAATACCCACACATATAATTTACTGATGCTGAAATGGAAAACTTCCTCTAATGTCTTCATTTGTTACTCTACTTGAGAACAAACATAGTAAGATATGAAAATCTTCAAGCAAATCATTTACTACGAATATTCAATAAAAAAGTATGCACAGCTATGGTACATTCCAATATGGACCCTCGAGCTACCATATCATGGTATGCGTGTTGTAATCAGGCGTTCTATCCTTGCCATGAACATAACTATTCGATATGTCAAGTTTAGCTATTGTATAAGTGTGTGATTGAAACATGCCGATCTTCTCTCACAGCTATACTATACCGTAACGACAAATAAAATACATAAGCGGAGCGACGTGACGAGCAAGTGTGCAAACGGTTATGCAGCGCAAACCTGTCGCATCGCGGTCTTATTATATGTAAGCAAGAAACACCGCCGATAGGTCTCTCTATTACGCGGCGACTGCTATGATACATTGATGACATAGCCTTTCTCCCTTCGCGGCTTCATTTGCATCGTTCAGTGTTTTGCATAGGGTCGACGGCCTAAGTGGCTCTTTAACAGAAAGCAGATGACTCATTTTGTTACCATGAGAGTGTTGGCACCAACGACGCAGGACATCAAAAGTGTCAATCGGAATGGTTTTTTTTTGCTTGTTGTGGCTCGTTGAAAAAATAGAACAATCCATCGGCGCTGTCGCACGCTATGGTCGGGCGCAATTGTCACTTGTTACCTTATCTCGCTTTATTGGGCTACTTCTTGTATCAGTGCGTCATTTGCGGCTGCTTGCTCGGGCATCGAAGCCTTTATGAAATAGTTCGACTGGGCATATACTCACAGGTGTCCTGCTAAACAAAATGCGAGCGCTAGACGCTTGCCACAAGTTCATCGAATTAAAGCTCACAAAGCATTGAAGAATCCCACTGTCTCTTTATGAATGTTGCGCATGACCCCCTCTGTGAAAGCAATTAGGAGTAAATACTGAACGTTGATCGACACGGTCAAACGCTATTGTACGCATTACGGTTATAGCTTCTCCTCTACGCCAATCATTCTTTTGATAAAGCGATTACATAAACAAAATTTTGCAAAGATCGCTGCAATCGAACTTTAATCGGTGTAGACGCATTTGACCACAGCTTCGCTCGACGAACATCAGAATTGATAAACTTTTATCTAGTTACCTTTGGACAGCCGACTTCAATAATTTGCCGCACCCGATGACGGTCATGAATCGCCAGGTGCGTTCCCCAACACGGATTGGCCCTCCACAGACAAGGGCTTAATTGTGAGAACTTAATTTAGACTAGCAGACGAATTGACGATGATCCGTCCCAAAAGTCCAATGCCATCACTCAACGCTGGTGAAGTACCTGCAATACTAGAATTGAACGCAACGAACGCTTGTTCCATGCACACTTTAGTGCCTGCTCCCAGCAACGTATATATTGACTTAAAATAGTAGCAGTTCCCACATTTATTAGAACCGACTGCCGTAACTCGGAATAGGGCTCATAGGTATTATTTAGAGGTTTTTTCAAATCGATGTTGAAATATTCAGGTAAGCTTCACACCATTAATAGCTGATACGTGGTAAATATTTAAGTCTTTGGTTATTCGTGACTATATATATCGAATGCAGAGAATACAGTTCTCTGATACCACTCAACATATATACTCTCTATAACTAGAAGCAGAAGTACAATTTCGTGCTTGCGTGTCACTTCTTGTCGAAACAAGAGCGTACGTAAAAGACTGCTGTAAGACTGATGAAGACACCAAGTAAAGGTGCTATTTAATCCAAACAAAAACTAGCTATTCGTACAATCATTTCCTTGACGAAATCCATAAAACAGCATTTCCGCGTAAAAGTAAATTACTGTGATTACGGCAACGATAATAATTCCTGTCGGCTTAATATTAAATTCTTCGAAGCGCATCTTGCGGAGTATAACCAAAATACCTAACATACAAAATAAAAACAAGGGTATAGTTAGTTTACAAAATGAGTCCAGGCCAAATGGAAATTGCGTGGCGTATGCTAGTGCCCATTTGCATAACTATTACCAGCAAAAAAAGCAGATCCAGCTGCAACAGACTGTCGCCGTAAGTCATGGGTGTGCCTGTACAGTCCACCAGGGAAAAGTCAGGCGGGAGAATTGAGTTCAACAAAAGAGAAAGGGATTTCGGTGCCGAACACGTTCGGGCGTAAGTACACACTCGTAATAGATATCAGGCCATTTGGTATTACGAAATGTTACGCGAAAATAAATGGCCAATGCTTTCAAATATGTCGAGCTCTCGAATAGCTTAGTGAATTTAGGTTGGTTACTTGATGACAACTCTACGACTGCCTTACCACGTTAAAACTGAGAAGAGCAGATTTCGTTAACGGCCTCAGTTCCCATATTCTTTGTATAAAAGTTCATCTACATATACTACTGCCAATTACCTCAAACGTGCCATCGATAGAGAAATTATGTAAGGTAATGCAAACCACGAGCACAGGATGTCGAGAAGCTTTCGGAATGCTGCTTTCAGGCGACAAAAAGACATATCTACCATACGCCAAAATATCGTTGTTCTACCTGATTTGATTTAAAAGTTACTTAAGGTTTTATATATCCACAGTAGCCCTGGGCGGCTTAGCTTAATAGTTTTATAAGGGGTCTTTGAAATGTTCGACGGTGAGCTACTCGTAGTAGACCTGGAAATGATTGAATTACTTTTGAAACTATTGAAAATATTATGTGTATCAACGTAATGCCTTGTTTACTCGTAGTAATAAGTGTCATATGAAGAAAAGAAGATCGAAATGTCTTAGACCCCTCAATGTGCAATAATTCTAGTTTCGTGGTCTAATTGACGACATTGTAGAACCTGTAGTATATCGCAGCTCAGAATGCTGGTCAAAATGCGCTGTCAGCTGATTGTAAGAACTCATATAGCTCGGAAATTACACGATCACGGCTCAATATCAAAGCCGAAGTTTTCTAACTCACGTATCATAATAGTCTTCATATGAGCAGTAATTGTAGAGATATAAAAGTGTCTCTAAATTATGACTCCAGTTCATTAGTAAAAAGACTTCTAAATTAAATAGTTTTTATTTTATACACGTGTCTTTGACCTGTATAAAATGTTACACTCAGCTTGTTTAAATATATTGGAAAACAGAAAAAAATCCTTTGTTCTATCTTAAAAGCATCATTTAAATTTTCCCGTCTCGGAATAATCGCCTACTTACGTTCGTTTCGTAAAAAAACAAGCCCTGTGCTACACACAAGCAAAATTCCATGGCCATATAATAGATCTCGAGTTTGAGTAAAATTGAGTATCCTGATATATTCTACAATTCTCCTAAGTAAAGCAACGAGTGTATATGAAATTTTGAATGACAAATAAAATCAGCGGCTCCGATACTCTGCAGATATTGCAGGGCGCCTGAAGGAAGCAAACGTTGAGCAAAGTGTATGTAAGCAGGTTTGCCAAAGTATTTCGGAAGCGGACAAGAGTTTATCGAGGACCATACTTACCCTGGAAGGTCTGTGACAGCAATCACGGGCGAGAAAGGGCCAAACGACTCATGCTTGCCAATCTCAGAATTACCATAAGAGAGTTAGCAGAAGAAACGGAGATCTCAATTGGCCCACCCAGGCCACTTTAGTCGATCGTTCGAGCACCAGAGGGCTAATCGAAAAGTTCGTGCCGAAAGAGTTGAATGTCCAGTAAACGTGCACCCGTGAAGAATGATGTCAGAAAAATTTTTTGGCGTCATTACGGATGACCAGACATGGTTTTACGACTTCAAAGGAAAGATCGAAACGCAATCTTTTGAGTAATGGTTCAGAAATAAACCTGGACTGAAAAAAGCTGCGTGCTCCACTCCAAGACTAAGGTGTTCCTCACGGTCCTTAAGGTTCTTTTTAACCGTAAGGGAATCCTACACTATGAGTTCATGCCGTCCAACTCTACGGTCACCGAGAACTACTATCAGATAGAAGTCTTGCAAAGACTGCGTTTATGATACAAAAGACTGAAACTACTACGGTGCAACAAGTCCTAGGTTCTCCATCAGGACAATACATTGGCTCACACTCTATTACTCGTAGAGCAACTGTGGTAAAAAAAACTGGACCTGCCTATTGTCCCTATCCATATTTACTAGGTCTAGCCTTTTTTTTTTCTTTTCTCAAAGCCAGAAAAAATCTAAAGCGAAAATATCCGAAAGCTATTCCGATTATCGAAATTTTTCAAAGTATTTTGAATGGTGACATAAATGTGTTGCGTCGGGAGAGTATTATTTTAAGAAAAACAACTTGAATTAAAATGATTAAATAAACGCCTTGATTCATTTTGTTAAAAATTTGTTAAAAAAAAAAAAAGAGTTATCTATTTGTTGAATGTTAAGTTATTGTTGTCAGAACCATTGCACTATGATGGCCGTCGCCTTCTAATTTAAGGATTAATTCTCCTTACGATTTTCCACATTCTTAAACAATATTCGTGCTGGATCTTGTATGGGCTGCATGATACGTCTGAACCTCATACGTAAATCGTCTTGTGCAATCTCCGATGGGTAGGGTACGATATGAAATAATCCCGTATAGACTTCACATTTGTTCACCGCGATCTTCATTTATTTTGGTCCAATACCGATCGATTCTTTTTGACCTGCCTAAATGCGCAGAATCAACGTCAAG